ATTTCTTGAAGAGAAACTAATTAGATTCATAAATCACTGTCATTTTGAGCCATGTATTTCCATTCCATTTACAAGGTCAATGCCACATGAACATATACATTAATAGCTCTCTTCAAACATAACCATAATTTCCACTGCTATGTCCTATATTCTGACAATTTTTGCGTTATCACCTTTTGTTTTACATTTACCTATTTTTACATTTAAAAACAAACAGGGCCTTTGTCATTGTTTGTGTGTAAGCAGTCCTTCGGGAAAAAACACCATTTATAAGATTTAATACCACAGAGGATTTAAATTCCTCTACCAAGAAATTTAGGTTTCTTGAAACAAAGGGCGGTACATTATTCATCCTGTTTCCTGCACTAGTGCAACAGACATTCAATAAATATACTGAGTAAATGACCTCTTTTGATCTTTACAGCTATACATACATAGAGCTTAACTGCAAATTTTCATGCACAACCTAAAATAAGCTTTATTTTTTATGATTAGCATCTTTCATAGCAATTTCCCACAAATCCTCATGCCTACACATTTGTCCATGTTAATGCAATGCTATATTTCACTGTACAATAAGTCCCCTACATACAAACCTTGAAGTAGCCAACTTGCAAAGATGCAAACATGCCTGTGTATGCCAGCTGTTGTACTGCACTACTGTACTTTCTAAGGTACTATACTGTAAGATTTTAAATGTTTGTTTGTTTTTTATGTATATTTGTGTGAAAAGTTTTCTAAGCCTATTACAGTACAGTATCATACAGTTGATTGTGTTAGTTGGGTACCTAGTTTAACTTTGTTGGACTTAGGAAGGCACTCTCAGAACTCGTTTGCATGAAGAGAACTTATTGTATTGATACATCATATACTTCATACACTGCTTACCCTCCCCACTTAAGCAGCTGAGATGGGGGCTTCTATTCATAACAAGATTCCAACCTATCAAAGGAAGTGGAATGGGCTCTCTAGGGCTCTACTTGTATGAGAGTTCTTAGGAGCTACTAAAGGAAAGGGTGGGGAGGATCCTTTCTAAAATAAGTTAAACCATTAAAAAAAAAAAAACTCATGAAAAGAGAAAAAAAAATATGTCAAAAAGAAAGAAGCATTTCCCATGTATGGGAATGGGTTTTGTCAGTATGACAAATGTTTGATGGTGACATCATTTTTACTTACTATAAGCTGAAATACTCTAATTCTTTATGTTAAAATCAACATAAACAAATACAAAACAACTGTATATTTTTTAAAAACTGAATAAAATAGGTGAACTTCTCACGTTCCCTAACTCACTTTGGGGAAAACCATTTGATCGAAATGACACGTCACAAAATGAAAAATAAACTATTGACACAATAACATCTTGACATATGGACAAGACTATTCAGCTCAAAGTGTAATTCAACTTTAATTGGGTCCATGTTGGCCCCATTCAAAGGCAGGGTAGTAGGAGGGGATAGTTACTGTGATACCAAGAGGACCAGATTTACTTATGAGGCAGTCCCATAGTTCTGACACAAACGATGGTATAACTCCAAGTCTCTGCTGTATACTAGGTATCAAAGGAAAAAAAAAATATCATGAGCCTATCTATGTCATATATTTGAGCTTGTGGCTATTCCAAAGAAAAAGCTTCCAGTTACTTAGAGCTTGCATCTTTGGGGGGATTCTACAATAAGGCAGGGTTTAAATATATATACATACATAGTCAACTTTGATAAGGTAAATTTTATTTGTTTATTTTTATTTGGCTAAGCCATGTGGCTTGTGGGATCTTAGTTCCCCAGCTAAGGATCGAACCTACGCCTTCCACGGTGAAATAAGCAGTTCCTAATCACTGGACCGCCAGGGAATTCCTGGTAAGGTAAAATTCAAAGTATGTTTGGAAAACAGTCTTGGAACCCAGCAACGTGTTTTATACATATTTTCATTGTAAATGCTTTTATTTTCTTACGTAAGAGTGTGAAACAAATTATCTTTATATTAAAAGACTACATTCTCCTATTTAGCACAAACATATCAAATTCAAACAATTCACAAGCACCTAAAAACAAAATTAGTATGGACCAAGTTCTTACCACCTAGTTCATTTTACAGTGATTCACCATGAGTAAGCTTTAAAACTCATTTCCTCTAGAATTGTAGTCTTGGGGGAAAAAAAATTTAGGTCTGTACATCATAATCACTACCTTAAAAGAAAAAATTGAATGAAGTTTCATACCTGCCTAATTCCTGCAATGATACAAAGTTACCTTTGTCGGCCCTAGTTTTTTTTTTTTTTTTAAGTGTACTATGTCAGCTTTTTGGAATGTATACTGCACTTCCTCATTGACACAATTGTTATAAATAGCAAAAATTTTAAAAAAAATCCTAGAAAATCTATTTAACTCCAGAGTAACTGATGTGTGGGTGGTTCTTACTGAGTACTCAAATTCCTCTTTCATTAGTTGAAATGGTTTCAGCGCATGTTTTAAAACATCCTGTATTGCAAAAACTTGGTCAGCTGATTCTAGAAGAACATTCCCGTAGGGAAACATGAGTTGATTTCACTGCACACTAGTACAAAGCCTCTTAACTGTTCTCTCCCAGCCTCCAGTCCCTCCCTTCCATAGTCTGTCCTCCACTGTGTAGCCAGTTACAGTAATCGCAAATCTAAGTTATACCACGTGCTAAGTGCATGCTAAGTTGCTTCAGTGGTGTCCGACTCCTTGCAACACTCTGTCCATGGGATTCTCCAGGCAAGAATCCTGGAGTGGGCTGCCATTCCCTCCTCCAAGTGATCTTGCCAACCCAGGGATTGAACCCACATCTCTTACATTTGACCTGCGCTGGCAGGCGGGTTCTTTACCACTGCTGTCACCTGGGAAGCCCACATCCCTACTTAAAAACCATCCTGCCCAAAGAATTTCCCCAGGGTAAAGTCCAAATCCCATAGCACATCACAGAAGACTCTCCCCAACAGGTCATCAACTAACCTTAGTTTTTTCCATGCCTCCCTTTCAGGTGGACCCTCTGGTGATTTCTCATCATTCCTTAACTAGTCCTGTTCTTATTTCTCTGATGTTGCTGCTGCTAAGTCGCGTCAGTCGTGTCAGACTCTGTGCGACCCCATAGATGGCAGCCCATCATGCTCCTCCGTCCCTGGGATTCTCCAGGCAAGAATACTGGAGTGGGTTGCCATTTCCTTCTCCAATGCATGGAAGTGAAAAGTGAAAGTGAAGTCGCTCAGTCATGTCCAACTCTTCTCCACCCCATGGACCACAGCCTACCAGACTCCTCTGTCCATGTCCATGGGATTTTTCAGGCACGAGTACTGGAGTGGGTTGCCATTGCCTTCTCCATCTTATCTCTCTAGACTCTTGCAAAAACCCTTCTGCTTTGAATTCCTGTCCTAGAATATTCACCCATACAGATCAGTTCAAATATCACTTTCTCAATAAAACCTTCCCCTACATCCTTCAGATAAACTCAGCACATTTGGTCACTCTATGCCCCTCCACAAACACTGAGCTCGGTGTTCACAGGAGTTCAATGACAGCTGATTACATTTTGAAAGCATATACGTGCTTAAATGAGGGACTGTTAAACTATAAACTGTTTAACTATAAACTGTTAAAGCTGTTGTTAAAAAACCTAAGGATATTCCATCCATCTATATGCAGCAATGTAAAAAATCAATACATAAACTTTAAAAATCAGTCTTATTTAAAGTATTCCAAACAGAATCATGGATTACTAAAACTCCAGATGTTTAACCTACTTCCCCTTAAACGCTGGTAAATGTTAACCATGTATTAATAGAACACCATAGCAAAAACAGTTTCAAACAGAAAAGATTTGGTACCTTCCCAGTTAAGAAAGTTTCAGTACTGAGAGCTTTAAAATTCCTGCAATGATGCAAATTTTCTTAATTGAAAAATAATAAAATAAGGAAGAAAAAAAAATCTAAATTTAGTCCTGCACTGAAATCCTCATCTTTGAAAAACTCTCAAGATAACGATTTAGTAGAAACCCCATTCTCCATAATACTCTATGGCTGATAAAGAAAACACAGCCACGCAAACAATAATTTAACACGAGCCAAAACAAAGAAAGACGGTGTTTTCAGAAAGAAGCTAGTGTTGGCGATTTAAATGTTTCCACTATGTCTGAGCATCTCCAATATAAATACCTTATGTATTTAAAGGAAGTTTCACAAGTCAAAAGCTATTTCACATAAATGATTAAATTCTTACCGTAAGCCTGTGACTTAAGCAGAGCAGGGATTATCTGCCTGGATTTAAGACCTTACCAACCCACTAAAAACGGAGATAAAAGACTGGCTATAAAAATGTAGCACTTCGTTTCCAAAAAAAAAAAAAAAAAGAGGTATTCTTACTAGAACAACAAAATGCCCCCCCAAAAAAGCAATCCCCCCCTTCTCTTATTTCATCACTAAATTCAGCCCTGTGGTACCTACTGGTGACTCCGCTAATAAAATGATGGTCAAAATTTCAAATCATGAAAACCTGGAGCAAAAAGTTCCATCTCCCGGTCTCTTTCCCAGTGACATTTACCCTGCAAGCAAACCCCAGCTCCATTTCTCAAAAGCACTTCTCAAACCCTCCGCGAGCATTTAGCCAGCCTCCCAGGCTCTCAGCCGAGTCCCTGAGGTTCGGGGTCGGACCGAGAGTGGCCCCGGGAAGGTCTTGGGGGTGGCACTCAGCTTGGCGCGAGATTGGGGGTCGGACTCACCCCCAAAAGGCTCTGCTCGGCAAGAGACCGAGGACTGGGAACCAGACCCGAAAACAGTGCCCAGGAGAACTGGGCGCGCCCAGACCCGGAGCCTCGGGTCCGAGCCCTGGTCCACAGGCAGCCCAGCGGCTCCGCCTCCCGACTCGGGTCGGGTTCCAGCGCCCAGGCAAGGCCCCGCCACTCTCAGGCACCGCGGGGTAAAAACTCCGAGCATCCCGGCCCTAGGAAACTGGAATCCCGAAAGGTCCCTGGGGGCGGACACCCACCTGACCGAGCCCCACCGAGGGCCGGGCTCAGCAAGCCCACCAACAGCAGCCACCGGACGCGGAGAGTCTCAGAGGGCGAGCCCACGCCCGACCCCATCTCAGCCCGAGCCCGCAGGTTCTCCTCAGCACTCGGTCGCCCCTGCCTCCGCCCGCTCCACGATTCCCCAGCCCCGCCAGGGCCCCAGGGCTGGCAGCGATGCGCGCGCGCTCGGCACTGACGCAACTCGGCTCCGGTCCGAGCTCGCTCCCGACGCGGCGCCAGCTCGCCTGACTGACGCACGGAGCGCTCCGTCCCGGGCGAGCGAGAATGGGCTTTCTCTCCGGTCCCCTCCGACCCTCTCAGGAACCGGCCCCGCCCATCGCCATTCGCCCCGCCCTCCTGCTTCAAGGCCCGCCTACTCCGGGGCGGGTCGAGGGAGCCTACTGGAAGAAGCACTCGTCACGGAAAAGAAGGAGGAGCGTGAGCCCCAGAAGCGGAATTGACCCGCAGAAACGAAACGCAGCCCCGCCTCCTGCGCAGCCTTTCCTTATTGGCTGTCTGAGTTGGGCGGGACGTAAAAATCTGGGCTTCCATTGGCTGTTTGGCATCGAAGCGTGAGGCTCCGCGGAGAGGCCTTGACCAGGCAGGGCTTGGGTCCGCGGTTGCCGGCTTGGGGCGGGGGTTCTGAGCCCGGATCTCCGCCTCTGCGCCCGGGAAGATGGTGCTGGGGGGTTGCCCGGTGAGCTACTTACTTCTGTGCGGCCAAGCAGCTCTGCTGCTGGGGAATCTACTGCTGCTGCATTGTGTGTCTCGGAGCCACTCGCACAACGCCACCGCCGAGCCCGAGCTCACATCCGCTGGCGCCGCCCACACGGAGGGCTCCCCCGGAGCTTCGAGCTGGGAGTATGGCGACCCCCACTCTCCAGTCATCCTTTGCTCTTACCTGTAAGCTACCTGGTCGTCGAGGCGGGTGGAGATGGAGATGGAGGGCCCTGGGATACATGGGGGTTGTGCGGGGGGACGGGGGGAGGAAGGCTGCTTTATTTTTCCCCCCGAGTCCCTCTCCACCTGGAGGACCTACCTGATCGTCGACACGCGAGGAAAATAACCATGACAGATTTCTCACTCAACGCACTGCTGCAGGGGAAAACCCCTCTGTATCGGTGGCTGATCCTTTGGGTTCCCCAAAGAGGAGAACTAGGGAACAGTGACATTATATAGCCTGCGGAAGAAGGGTACGAGGTTGTTCCAGGTCCCTTTAGCCGAAGGAGACACCCTCGTTCGTGCTGGTACTGAGTGGTGCACAAGTGGAGTAAATCACTTGTTTCTACATGGCACCTACTTAAAAAAATAAAAGCAGTAACCTTAGCGTTGCAGAACCAAGTCAAAACTTTCAACGTCTCTTTTAAGTCAATTAAGAAAAGGCTTTTGAAAAATGCAAGAGAACTGGGAATCCTTTGGCCTGGATTTTGCCCCCATAGCCTTGTGGCTGTTTGCCTAGGGAAGAGATGAAGCCTAGGCAGAGGTAGAACTGCTGTAGAAAAAAGACCAGAAACACCCCTCATCCCCACCCCACCCCAACCAAAGGGTCACTGGATGGCTGTTTGACCTGCTGTCCTTCAGCCTAATTGACAGCATCTCTTGTCTTGGGGAAGACTCAAAGGGATAACCCCCAGAAAATTTGCAGAAATGTCTCTTGCCTGTTATGACTGTATACATGTAAACAGCCATTTAGAAAGACCTTAATGATGATCTTACTGGTGATTTACAGACCCGATGAATTTATAGAATGTGAAGACCCAGTGGATCATGTTGGAAATGCAACAGCATCCCAGGAACTTGGTTATGGTTGTCTCAAGGTGGGTTTTTGTTTGGTTTTATAAGCAAACTCTTCCATAGGGAAGCAATATTGCCTAAATGCTATTACAGAAAAGTATGAGGAATATGAAGTTATTTTTTTGTAAAATTCATTGAAATGACTGTTACTGAACATTTCCAGCATGGTCAGGGTCAGTGGCTGAACAAGACATTTAGCCTTCTCAGAAAGAAGCAGGCTCTGTGCCCAAACTACTCAGGTGCAAAGACCAATCTGTCTTTGGTTCCTTTGGCCATTGTGCTTGACAGATTCAAAGCTCAGATATCACCCCGGACTACCCTTCAAGGCACGTACTTTCCTGAAAGAGCAAAAGGAAGGTTTATGCAATTTCTAAAACTGATGCTGGATTGAGCAGTATCTTCGTTACATATGCATTTGGGGCAAAGCTCCTCTTGCCAGTGACCTTTCTTTTCACTAGGCAAGCAGTTTCCACCACGTCCTTAGGAAATAGATCAGGCCTATCAGTATACTTCCCTGGAGTGGGTTGCCATTTCCTTCTTCAGGGGATCTTCCTGACCCAGGGATCGAACCCTCATCTCCTACATTGGCAAAGAGGTTCTTTACCACCGAGTCACCAGGGAAGCCCAGAGTATCGTATAGAGATCAGCCTGAGCACCTTGACAGGATCAACCCAGTGTTTAATGAAAATGGGCAAAAATAAGTGATCTCTATACAATAATTACTTTTGCCCATTTTCATTAAAACACTGGGTTGATCCTGTCAAGGTGCTCAGACTGTCACTTCCCCCAGAAGTCCTGGGGGCCTGTCAGCATTCGGGCCCCCACGTCCCAAGGGAGGGGCAAGAGTAAACATCCTCACATTCCACCCACTTCCCTTTGAGGAATGTTCCAGCAAGAACAGTAGGGAAGGGCTCAATAAGGTGCCAGTGGAGAACGCCCAGCTGTGCTTTCTCTGCTAGAATTCAGTTACACAAAGGGTCGGAGGTCTTCTGAAATTTTTTGCTGGAATTTAAACTTACATATAGATATATTACGTTACTATGGATGTGAGCTGAAAATCACAGTTTCGAGACCTGTGTAAAGTCCTGAGTCGGTTGACATGCTGAGTTCTTTCCTATCGATGTTCATTTATAATATATATAAAATAGACCTCAAATACACATTGACTTTTTTTTAAATTGAGTATAATTGCTGTGCAGTGTTGTTTTAGTTTCTGCTATACAACAGCGTGAGTCAGCTATATGTATACATATATACCCTTCTCTCCTGAGCCTCCCTCCCACCCCACCACCCAGCCCACCCATCTAGGTCATCACAGAGCACCAGGGTGAGCTCCCTGTGGTATACAGCTTCCCACTAGCTGTTTTATACTTGGTAACGTATGTGTCTCAGTTCTACTCTCTCAATTCATTCCTCCCTCTCCTTTCCCATCCCCCCATCACATCCACATCCACAAGTCCATCCTCTACATCTGTGTCTCTATCCCTGCCCTACAGATAGGTTCATGAGTACCATATTTCTAGATTGCACATGTATGCATTAATACACGATATTTGTTTTACTCTTTCTGACTTCACTCTGTATAATAGTCTCTACACATTGACTTTTTGAATACCCGTTCCCAAATATGCACTCATGTGCTCTTCTCTTCTATAAATCTGGGATTAATTAAAGCCTTGTGTCCCGCTAATCCAAAATGGCATTTAATGAAACTGATTTTAAACTTTTGTACTATATTATCAAAGAAGGTAGTCACAAGGAAAGAAAATGAAAAGGAGTTTATTTAAAACCATGTCCCTTGAGGACCGACTCATTGAAAATCGCTTGAAGTATGTCACTGATCTCCTCGCTCTTTTGCACAGCTTTACCCCACCTTCATTAGGATAGTTATTGTCCTGGGCCAGCTTTTGTTAGTTCGTATGAAGAGATGTTTTGTGTTGCTCGCTCTGGCTAGTTTGGTTGTTCTGTTGTGGTTGTCACCCCACAGTTCGGGGGCCAGGCCTACAGAGATGTGGAGCACACTTCTGTGCAGTGCCGGGCCCTGGAGGGAATCGAATGTGCCAGCCCGAGGACCTTCCTCCGAGAGAACAAACCTTGTATAAAGTAAGTGCTATCTGCATGGAGGAGCTGGTACTTAGATGGAGGTAGGGCTGTTCTGCCCTGTTTTGATGTTGACTTTTTCTTTGACCTTAAGTGTTATGACTTTTTCTTTGACCTTAAGTGTTAAAGGGCAGCATGATTACTGCTGTGCATACTCCACGGACACAAGCAATGGGGTGACAACATAGGGGACACTGAACAGGAGGCCAGAGGCTGTGAATTCTAAATGTCCCTTTCACCAATCAGCTAAAGGACCTCTGAGCACCCAGGGTCTCTGTCCCCTCCTCCACAAAATGAAGAGGTGGAACCGATGATCCAACTTCTGAACTCCTGCGATAGGCATTCGTCCTTTGAAAACAGCCATAGAATTTCAGGAGGAAAGACTTTATTATGAAAAATGTGGGCCTTTCTCCCTGAAAAGCAGTATTATCTTGAAGAATTAGGGTTATTGAGACTTCCCTGCTGGTCCGGGGGTTAAGAATCCACCTTCCAATGCAGGGGATGTGGACTCAATCCCAGGTCCAGGAACTAAGCTCCTACTTGCCGCGGGGCAGCTAAGCCCACGTGCCACAACGACTGAACATGCATGCTAAGAATGAGAAGCTGCACACCGCAGCGAAGATCCCGAGTGCCGCAACTGAGACCTGACACGGCCAAAAAATTAATTAACTTTTTTAAAAGCAGATTAGGGTTATTTCTGTAAACTCCACTTGAAGGCACAGAACTTATGTATACCATTTGCTGATGGAGAGTTGTGACTGTGTTAGGTGATGCCATTAGAGTATCTGCAATTGAATGTCATCACAGTATGTAAGACAGAAGTCCTTCTAAGAAGTCCCATTTATCGGGTGCCATGAAACATCAGGAGAGGGACGTGGAGATCAGTGTTCATTTAGGGGGAGGTAACGCCTCATGAGAGAACTACATTCAGAACTGCAGCCTCCCTCAGGATAGGAGTCTACTCAGGAAAGGGATGGGCACCCAGACACCACTCCTACCAGGATACCTGTGCTGTAAATGTCCTTAATAGTTTCTTATCCAGCCCAACTCTGTATTGGTTCCTCTGGGTCTTCTATACCTTGTGTGAGCATGTGCTAAGTCGCTCAGTCATGTCTGACTCTGTGTGACCCTGCGGACTGTAGCCCACCAGGCTCCTCTGTCCATGGCATTCTCCAGGCAAGAAGACTGGAGTGGGTCGCCATGCCCTCCTCCAGGGGATCTTCCCAACCCAGGGATTGAACCCATGTCTCCTGTGTCTCCTGCATTGCAGACAGGTTCTTTACCACTGAGCCACCTGGGAAGCCCCCTCCATACCTTAGAAAGTACCTTTTTGAGAATCTAAACAAACTAGAGATCTTCCTTTGGGGGAGAGGGGGTTGGTAAGAAGTCACAGAGGGACTATCTTCCCATCTTGTCACTTATGTGAAATTCACTAATAAAGCATTAAGTGTTTTCATTTTCACATGGTAAGCATCTTCCTCTTGATTCCCTCTGTCTAGGTATACTGGACACTACTTCATAACCACTTTGCTTTACTCTTTCTTCCTGGGATGTTTTGGAGTAGATCGTTTCTGCCTGGGACACACTGGCACAGCAGTGGGGAAGCTCTTGACCCTTGGAGGACTTGGGATTTGGTGGTTCGTTGACCTTATCTTGCTGATCACTGGAGGGCTGATGCCCAGTGACGGCAGCAATTGGTGCACTGTTTACTAAGAAGAGCTACTGCTGAGGCCCAGAGAGGCAAGGCTCTTGGATTCATCTCTGCAGGCCCAGATCTCCTGGATGTCAGGCCTGACCAGTATTTTCCCTCATTGGAGAGAATGGGTTTGGTTAGGAAGGTGGCTTCAGACTGTGGATGTTCGACCCAAATTTGTCCTTGCAGACTAGAAATGACAAGCAGACAGTATTGTGGATATCAAGTTTGTACCTTTCCTCGTGTACCAAAAATATAAAGGATAGTGCTTAACTTAGAAGCTGCAGAAGGGTCTCCTTATTCTTTATTTCTGTGTGCTGCTATGTCATCAACCTTTTGGATCAGTTGGACCCAACAGGATGTTTTTGGCCTGTGCCTTTGTGACCCTGAGTCTTCGTGCAGTGGAGGTCAGAAGCTGAACCAACAAAGATTTCCAGCAGAAGTAGAAACAGCAGTCAATTTTAATACACGCTGAAATTCTGACTTTCTGAATTTAAATTGCGGAATGAATGTTGCCAACCTGGAATGCTTGTTTGGGTATTTTCAATAGGTAGATTGAAACTCAGTATCTGTTGTGCTTAAAGCTGAGCATCTGAAATGAGCCTATTAATAAACCCTATTGTTTCATCATTATTACTCCTGAGAGGCAATATATCCAGTATAGTAATTCCCTCTAATGTCCAATTATGTTTTGAAAGCCAACAGTTCCAGACATGTCTGGGTTGAGCTATCCTCTTGGAAGAATTTTCCTATTGAAAAGGTATCATTTACCAATTTAGAAAGCCCATGTTATAGACTGATTAAAAAAAATCATACAAGTAACTCTAAATCTCTTCTTCATGATTACATAATATAAAATGAAGAGCCTCACATCCTTGGAAAGAAAAACAGACTCTTCCTTAAAGGATCTTACTGCTGAGTGCTAGATAGAATTAGGATGTGACTTGTGGGAAACAAAAAGAAACTGAACACACTTGTCAAAATAAGCATGGTACCAAAGTCTTTCACTGTGGGCTACAGTGGTTAGTCATAGGGAAAGAGACAGCCAAGCTTTCGAGTTCCCACATCACAGGGGATAAAAAAAAAAAAAATGTTCTAAACTTGGGGTTTTTAAAACTTAGTTCCCATCCCTTACAATCTGAGTTGAACAGAACTGTTAAGTGTAAAGTAAAAGGGGGGGTTTACAAAGAGCCTGCTATTTGGGCAACATATAAATTCTAGGAGCAATTAAGGTAGAACCGCTCAAAGTTTAGTCTCATAATAATTGACATAAAAGCCAAGAATCCCAGTTAAAATAACTGGATACTCTCTATCATTATGAAGCAGTTTTCCTGAAAATTTCAACTTTATTATCCCTGATTAATATGACTGCTTTTTTTATGGTATTAAATGGTGGCAACTATGTAAAAGCGAAAACAGATTATTCTGTTTTGTCTTGAAAGTTCTGTACCACATTGACCTCAACTTCTTCATAACTGTAAATTAATAGATTCTTATTTACAATCTCTACAGTCTAAGACAGTATATTTTAAATTGCTGTGGGTCCTGAAGAAATTGAACCTTCTCCCCAGAAAAATGCACATAAACTTAAAATTTCTGCATAGAACTTAAGAGAGTTCAAGGATGCCCCTTTTTAAAAAGAAAAACTCACTTTTAAGAAAAATCTGGAAATCTAAAATTGAAATCCTGCCCCAAATAAGATAATACTTTAAACCACAAATCCTGCTTCATCTTACACTTAAAAAAAAAAAACAACAACAACTCCTTAAAGATATTCACAAACCCCATCAAAAGTTATTTTTAAAAAATAAATAAACTGTGGCAGCTTTCAGACTCAAAATCATTGATCATGAATGTTTCCAGGAAGAAGAACTTGGGTAAAGAGGTAAAAGTCTGTAAATTATTAAAGTTTCTATTTTATAGAGTATTTTATAGAAGCCCTCCTCACAGAAAAGCTGCTGGGAACCAGAGTTGTTTCCACTGCCAGCTGACAGCCTGAGAATCTATGTTCCTCTGTGACCATCCAAATTTGTTAGTTTCAGTGTGACTTCTAGGTGATGAGCATCCTCTGTATTTACAAACCCTGGCCAAATGTGATAAACCTGAAAAACTGTTTGAGTAAAGGAATAATATTAAAAATGTGATTTCCTTTGGTTATCAGTTTCTTAATATTGGTAGGGGTGTGTGTGTGTGTGTGTGTGTGTGTGTAGTGTTATATCCAGTTTATGGCTATAGAGAAGTTTTACAGTACTAAAGTGTCCTTCCATCAAGGATAAATTAGAAACTTCCTACACTCAGTTGTTTCCTGTCTTTAAATAAAAAGTTATCAGCTCCCCAGACTTCCTGGCACCATGTCCATCTACTCGCCTTAGGCTCCTTAGCAGCAGTTCTAACACCCCCAACCTGATGGTTCTGGAATGTGTGTATGTGTGTTCTAAAGCACACTTTTTTCTTTAAAAGAAGGAGATCCTAAAACCCCTTGCCATCACTGGCACATCTTCAATACAAACCAGGTAACGTAGCTTTGGTTGTGTTAGATAATTTATCTTTAAAGCAAGGCTCTTAATTGATTATCTCAGGTGTGACTGTCAGAATCAAAGTTTGGCTTTTCCGACGAACCAGGAGGGAAAGTGAATCATTGGCCTTAACAGCTTCAATCACATCAGTTGTTGTGGTGACAGGCAGTCCGTTTATGCTGACAATTACATCATGGTCTTTCAACCCAGAGCTGGGAGGGGAGAAAAAAGGACCATGAAACTGTTAAGAGTTTGACTTAATCCCCATCTAGAATTTAATGTCTGTCCCTTAAGGCACTACTATCGTGCTGACATTAAGCATGCAAACCAGGGAACCAGAAATAGCCTCCATCCTTCCAAATGTGCCACTTCCCTGCTGGCAAAGACAGTAAGGAGTCTGCCTGCAATGCAGGAGACCTTGGTTTGATCCGTGGGTTGGGAAGATCCCAAGGAAATAGCAACCCACTCCAGTAATTCTTGCCTGGAAAATCCCATTTTTGGAAGAGCCTGGCAGGCTACAGTCCATGGGATTGCAAAGAGTCAGACACAACTGAGCGACTTCACTTTCACTTTTCACTTCCAAATATGGGGGCTGTTCTAATATATGCTGCAGAATCACTGGAGGACAACAACCCTATTCACCTTTCTAAAATTCATATTCCACCAGAATCATATGTATGAAATTTGCTCCTCCCATATGTTAGATTTGGTTTGGGATAGGGAGTTGAGCTTTTCTGTTAACCCCTGACCTCACTTAACCTGAAACATACCCTCAACCTTACCAATAAATGTGAAAAGCCCAAGCAATACATATTTTTCCAGACACTTACACTCTGATCAGTGAGATGTTGACAGCCCACTTAACTGCCCCACCTTCACCTAGAATTTATGGACTTGGAGGGTGTGCTAAGCTGTACTACGGAAGTAGCTTCCAGAAAGTCAAAAACCAGTCACCAAGCTCCAAGCTCTAAATATTTAAGGCTCCGATACTAGGCTTCTTTCCCTCAAAGTTGTGATTATACTCAGCCTCCAACATATTTGTTTCACATAGAATATATGTTCTAGAAACAAAACGTTCCAGATACAAAACAGTACAGTAAATATATAGTCATGTGGACAATCTGTCTTAAAGTAAAAAACAGGCCGGAAGTCAAATTAAATGACCGCAGGAGACACCATTTGAGGGAAATGGCGGGGGGTGTGGGTGGGCATTGGTGGAATTCCCTGGCAGTCCAGTGGTTAGGGTGTGGGTGGGCATTGGTGGAATTCCCTGGCAGTCCAGTGTTCTCACTGCCAGGGGGCCAGGTTAGACCCCTGGTCAGGGAACTGAGATCTCAAAAGCCACGAGGTACAACCCAAAAAAAGAAAGAGTGAGGAATAGGAAGCTGAGAAGCCCAGGGAAGAAATTAGAATGAGGGAGGATTATCAGGGTATGTGGAGTTTATTTAAAAAAAAAAAAAGAAGAAAAGCGAAAACAAATTTAAAGGAAGTGCATATGAAGAGAAGTTCAAGGATAGAGCTAAAAGCAGAGAAATCCTTGAGAACAAGGGCAGTTGCTGGGGGCGGGGGCGTAGGAGGAGGCGTTGGTGCCTGGTATGGTGCACAAAGAAAGAAGTTAATTCAATAGTTCTGTAAGTAGAAAAAGAAACCTGTAAAGTATTACTGGATGCAAACTATGCATCAAATATGGGGAAGTGAGGCTCAGACAGAATAAATGAACTTCCCCACGACTGTCAGCTTGTAAGAAGCTAAAGTAGGATTTCATCCTGGATGTTTCAGACTTGAAAACCCATCTTCTTGCTAGTCACTCTGCCTCTCAGAAACAATAACAGCAGCCGCAAGAGTAGGATAATACAGGGGCCAAGCCGGGTCCCACATCCCTGCCTTCTGACTGACACATCATGTAACTTCCAAGGTAATTAACCTCTGCACATTTGCTGCCTCTAAAATAATACCTATATTCCATAATTATTGGGGACTTGAACAAGTACATAAGACCCTTTAAATGATGCCTGACACAGTAAGTGGTTGATAAATGCCAGCTATTACCGGAATTGTTATCACTATTATAAGTGGGTGACACCAGGAATATTTCCAGTTTATCAGAGACTTCAAGCCAGCAGCAATTCCCACTGTGTAATGTGCACCTGAATCCCCTGAAGATCTTATTTAAAAAGCAGATTCTGATTCTTTCTAAACTTTTTATTTTGTACTGGAGTGTGTTGTATTAGTTTCGGTGTACAGCACAGTGATTCAGTAACGCCTACACGTATCTATTCTTCTTCAAATTCTTTTCCAGTGGTACTCCTGTCACTCTAAAAAGCTCTAGCTGATGCCATTGTTGCTGGTCTACAGACCACATTTTGAGGAGCAAGGACTGAAGAGCCGAAAGAAATAGCTTTGGCCTTGAACCAAAAGTTAAAAATAAATGGGGGCAGGGACCCAGAAAGTCTAGAAAAGCCAGTGGCAAGTCAAATATAGTAACTGGAAGCCTAACACTCAGC